CATCATCATCATGACACATCATCTAGTCTCACCTCCATCATCATCATGACACATCATCTAGTCTCACCTCCATCATCATCATGACACATCATCTGGTCACTAGGGTCCTCTATCAAGATGGCCTCCTGCAGAGGGATCTTCCCTGTGGAGGCCATGAGGTGCAGCTTGCCTCCTGAGGTCCTGGTGGCCATTATCAGGTGGTTGCTGGTGGACAAACAAGACAGGTGGACAAATTAGACAGGTGTTAGGTGGACACATTAGATACGTGTTAGGTGGACAAACAATAGACAGGTGTTATGTGGACACATTAAGTATTAGATGGACACGTTTTCCAGCTGTCTGCTGGAGAACGCTTTTATTATACATTTTTTAAAATATGCAAATGCCACCAGGTTAGCATGCTATCAAATATGCTGTACGAGGTATATAAACTTTCCAACTCTAGAACCCTGTTATTATAAATTACAAACTTCCCATAACGTTCATCCCTTACCCAATCATCCCGAATCCAGTTAACAGCTTTTAAATTTACGTTTCGTGATTAAAGAAAACCCCGCTCAACCCCATATTTAGCACGGAACTCTCAACCAATACCAATTTGGAATTTTGAAGGAAACTCGAAATTTTCAAGGAAATTTACACTCTAATACATATAAACAATCACTGTACATTTTTATTATTCAACTCGTTCGTTTATTAATTAAGGTCAAGAAGTTGCACCATAGTGTAATGTATGAAGTTACGCGCGTGAAGGGTGGGAAGAACACGGCAGCACGGAACAGGCTTTATTGGAACCAACATAATGAACACGGAACAAGAACGAAGGCGTACGGAGCACGACTTCTAAAACGTGCTTCTTCTTAGCGGCTAATTATTAGGAATACAGGAAACGTTATATGCTACACATTGTATACGACAGTCCCAGTAGAATTCAGACACGATAACGGCCTCTATACGTGCTTTGGTGTCAAGCATTCTTATACACAAACATAAAGAAAGTAGAATATTCAAGAATATTTGATAGAAATGAATTTAATTGACTTTTATATTCAATCAAATTAATAATGATTTTAAATTAAATAAATATTTAATTAAATTTAATATTTATTAGAATATTTAAAGTAACGTGAGTACATCCCACACATCAACTGCGCTGTCCCTCCTGTCCCCAAGCCCCCTGTCCCCAAGCCCCTTGTCCACAAGCCCCCCGTCCC